ATTATAGAAATAGAATCTCTAATTAGAGAGATGTATATGTGTATATAATGCTCTAATGTTTCTGAATAAAACAAAACCAAATTATTTTCATCTTCTCCTGTTATTTTGACATGGCACCAGAGCAGTAACGATCTGCTCCATTCCCTTCCCATATTTTTGCCTATCAAATCTTTTTTTTGTTTCTAAACCATTATGGCCAATGATGGAAACAAATCTGATTCCAATAGCTCTTACTCTCTTCACCATTCCGATCATCCGGGAATGGTTCTTGTTTCTAAACCTCTCAATGGTGACAATTATTCGACTTGGCGTCGAGCCACTACCATCTCATTGAATGCAAAATCTAAATTTGGTTTTGTAGATGGAACCCTCAAAACACCATCTGCCAAAACAAAACCGGAAGACTATGCGGCATGGAAAAAATGCAATGATATGGTTTTGTCATGGATTCTTAATTCATTGGCCTCTGATATTGCAGATAGTGTTATTTTTTACAACACTGCTCATGAAGTTTGGGAAGATCTTCAAAATCGTTTCTTTCAAAGCAACACACCACGCATTTTCCAGATCGAGAGAGAGATTGCTTGCATTACTTAAGATCAAATGACAGTTGCTGCATACTACACAAAATTAAAAAAATTGTGGGATGAGCTAGGATCCTACAATGATGCTACTTGTACATGTGGAGCAAACAACAAAAGACGCAAGTTGATGCAATTTCTCATGGGATTGAATTAATCTTATAACAATGTTCGTGGTCAACTCCTTTTGATGAATCCTCTACCAGATGTTTCACAAGCTTATTCTTCCATCATTCAAGAAGAAAAGCAACGAAATTTGGGTGCAAGAAAAGAGACTATAGAAGCTTTTGCCATGACTGTCCAAAGAGAGGAGCCAATAGCCCTTGCTGTTCGACACAATTCTGGTCAGTACTCTCGTCCCAATTCCAACAACCGTAAACCGCTGCATTGCTCTCATTGTGACAGAGATCATCACACGAAGGAGACATGTTGGAAGTTACATGGTTATCCACCAGGACAATCCAAGCATACCACGACAAAAAACCATCATTTCAAGTCCAACGACAACAATCAATCTTCAGCAAATAGTGTCAAAGAAACCACATCAGCACATGTTCAGCCCCTTGTGAATGGATTTACTAACCTACAATTACAACAAGTTTTGGCTATTATGCAGGGCAATGGAACATCTCAATCAGCTGCTCCCAAGGCAAATAATGTCAATTTTTCTTCAGGTTTGTCTGCACCAAAATTGATAATTGATAGTGGTGCAACATATCACATAATTTCTTCTCCATCTTTACTTGTCAGCAGTAAAGAAAACACTTCTTTACCACCAGTTGTTATGCCAAATGGAGATCAAACTCCAATTACTTCTACTGGAAATTTGCCCTTAAGTTCTATTATTTATTTGAAGAATGTACTTGGAGTTCCATCTTGTAAGGTGGATTTGATGTATGTGAGTCGAGTCACAAGCGATTTAAATTGTTCAGTAACTTTTTCCCCACAATTGTGTATTTTGCAGGATTTGATGACGGGGATGACGATTGGTTTGAGTGAACAACGAGATGGACTCTATTACTTGGTTGCAATGAGTAAGTCACACAAGGTTAATACCATCAAACCTGCCTCCACTTCAAACACCTCGAGTATCTTGTGGCATAGGCGTCTAGGACACTTATCCTCTTCCAGATTAGACTTTATAGCCAAAAACTTCCTTCATTTCTCTTTCAAACAAAATAACAATTGTACTGTTTGTGCTCTTGCAAGACAAACTAGACTCCCTTTCTCTACAAGTTCTATTTTCTCTGTTAAACCTTTTGAATTAATACATTGTGATATTTGGGGGCCCTTTAGAGTTCCTTCCCTATCTGGTGCAAAATATTTTCTGACTATTATGGATGACTTTTCTCGTTTTACTTGGGTTTTTCTAATGCATCATAAAAGTGAGACACAAAAAAATTTAACCAACTTTTTCTCTTTTGTGAAAACCCAATTTGATACTACAATAACAAATATTCGGGTTGACAACGGGGGAGAATTTTTCTCTATGCGAGAATTCTTTAAACAACAGGGCACTAATTACCAACATTCATGCATTTATACACCTCAACAAAATGGGGTGGTTGAGCGCAAACATAGACATATACTTGAGTCAGCTCGAGCTCTTTGTTTTCAATCTCACCTCCCTTTACACTTTTGGGCAGAATGTGTCTTCGCTGCTGTTCATATAATTAATAGGTTGCCCACACCTATCCTTTCTCACCAAACTCCTTTTGAAAAACTTTATAAAAAAATTCCCTCCTATTCCCACCTTAGAGTTTTCGGATGTCTAACTTATGCTACAAATGTTCATGTGCCCCATAAGTTTGCTCCTCGTGCCACCAAATGTGTTTTTATTGGCTATCCAATTGGTCAGAAAGCTTACAAATTATATGACATTGAATCTAATAGAGTTTTCACTAGTCGTGATGTTATTTTCCACGAGGATACTTTTCCCTACGAATCCATTCCTTCTTCACCACCTAAAACAGACTCTGTTGTACCTATTGCTGTCTTAGATTCCTCACTCATCCACCAAACACATGAAGAACCTAACCCTACGACTCTTGCTTTTCCAACAGTCCCCACTCCTACTTCTCCAGCAGCCCTCACTCCCGTTTTTCCAGCAACTCCCACTCCTACTTCTCAAACATCCCCTCTGCGTCATTCTCAAAGAACCCATGTTCCTCCTGTAGCCTTGAGTGACTATGTTTGTAATCAAGTAAGTTCTCCCGAATCATTGCCATTCTCGCCATCTTTTCCAAGTAAAGGTACACGATATCCAATCTCCAATTTTATCTCATATGATTGTTATTCACCACAACATAGATCCTTTATTGCTACTATTACTCATGATGTTGAACCTACATGTTATGAGCAAGCTGCTTCCCAATCTCATTGGCAAATAGCAATGCAATTTGAGTTAGCTGCTTTAGAGGCTAATAATACTTGGTCTCTCACACCTCTCCCTCATGGAAAGCAATCTATTGGTTGTCGCTGGGTCTATAAAATCAAGCGAAAATCAGATGGTTCTCTTGAACGCTATAAAGCGCGGTTAGTAGCAAAGGGATACACACAACTTGAAGGGATTGATTACCATGACACTTTTTCACCTACCGCTAAAATGGTTACAATACGTTGTTTATTAGCTTTGGCAGCCGCTCAAAATTGGTCACTTCATCAACTTGATGTCCATAATGCATTTCTTCACGGAGATCTTTCTGAAGAAATTTATATGTCTCTTCCTCCTGGTTTTCAGCGACATGGGGAGAACCTTGTGTGTCGCCTCAACAAATCTTTATATGGATTAAAACAAGCCTCTCGCCAATGGTTTGCCAAGTTCTCTACATCCATTCAAGGTGCAGGATTTATTCAATCGAAAGCAGATTACTCGTTGTTTACGTGTAAGAAAGGAAAATCATTTACTGCCTTATTGATCTATGTTGATGACATCCTCATAACTGATAATGATCTCAATGCCATAACTGTTCTTAAATAGTTTTTGCGTAATCAATTCCGGATTAAAGATTTAGGTGACTTGAAATATTTTTTGGGCATGGAGATTTCTCGGTCAAAGAAAGGTATATTCATTTTGCAAAGGAAATATGTTTTGGAAATTCTAAAAGATGGAGGATGTTTGGGAGCTAAGCATGTGAATTTTCCCATGGAGCAAAATGTAAAATTGTCGGATGAAGGAGAATTGTTGAAAGATCCATCATATAGGCGACTTGTAGGACGCCTAATTTATTTGACTGTTACTCGTCTGGATATCACCTACTCAGTGCATATATTGAGTAGATTCATGCATGCCCCTCGCAAACCTCATATGGAAGTTGCCATGCGAATATTGCGGTACTTAAAGACCAATCCAGGTCAAGGTTTATTTTTCTCTTCCCAAAATGACTTATCTTTACGTGCCTTCTGTGATTCAGATTGGGCAGGTTGTCCGATATCCAGAAAATCAACTACGGGGTATTGTGTCTTTTTGGGATCCTCACTAATTTCTTGGCGAACAAAAAGACAAAAGACAATTTCTTTATCATCAGCTGAAGCAGAATATAGAGCTCTGAAGCAGAATATAGAGCTATGACAGGCGCATGCTGTGAGTTGTCTTGGCTACGTTCACTGTTGAAGGATTTAGAAACATTGCACCCAAAAGCCGCACTGTTGTATTGTGACAACAAAGCAGCTCTTCACATAGCGTCTAATCTGGTATTTCATGAAAGAACTCGACATATAGAGATAGATTGTCATTTTATCCGTGACAAAATTCAAGATGGTTCAGTAGCAACTGAGTATGTTCCTTCGGCAGAACAAGTAGCCGATGTATTCACTAAACCACTAGGAAAGGAATCCTTTCTTACAATGAAGCACAAGTTGGGAGTTCTTGATATCCACTCTCCAACTTGAGGGGGAGTGTTAGGAAAGGAAATTATATTCTATGATTCTTGTTATTATGAGAGTTAATTGCATCCATGATTCTTGTTGTAAATATGGTAACATGGCAACTGTCATATCAGTATAATAGGAATAAGTTGCTGAATTATAGAAATAGAATCTCTAATTAGAGAGATGTATATGTGTATATAATGCTCTAATGTTTCTGAATAAAACACAACCAAATTATTTCCATCTTCTCCTGTTATTTTGACATAATATAATAATTTAAAAGAAAAAAAATCAATAGAAACAAACAAACATACATACAAAAGATGAAAAATACATAAAAACAACTCACAAGGAGGGCTGTCCCGTCCCGTCTCTTCAATACTTATTGCATGAACAAGTCACATATTATTATATCTAAATACTAGTATTACATTTTTGTGATTGTTTGCAAATGATTTATTTTTAAACCAGTATGATACAATAGTATACAGGCTTTGATGTCTTATCTCAAGGCATATTGAAAATTGTGTCCAACTTTGTTCCATATTTCTACTGAGGTTGGGGCCTTGTCTGAACAATATAAATGTCTTTTCCAACAAGACATCCTTCCACATCCTGTGGGCTACCAAACTTTCTCTCCAGGAAAAACCCAACTGCACAAAGCCGTTGACCAAGTTGTCGCCGGAAAACTGGATCAACTGTCAGTGGTTTCTTGCTGTAATCCACAGTCAAATGGATAACCTCCCCATCCGCAGGCCCTGCACTACGTACAATCATTTCCTCACTGAAATTCGCAAAAGCCAGTGTTTGCACAAGCCCGTCAAATTTCCCACATGATATACGCCATGGTGTACCCCGGGTTCCAGAAGCCAGAGTTTCACCAAGGCCAGAAGCAATCTCGGCCTCCACAGAATTGTTATCCTGGTCTGTCGGGCTCATAGTATGTAGTACAAATGATAAATCTGGTGAAAGCATTTCTTGGATCAGAATTGCCATTGAAGCTTCCTTCTGAGGCACGCCAGCAGCTCGGCGGCTCAACACTGCCCTCCGTGTGTACAGTGAAGCCCATACTCGGCCAACTGCATCTGCAAAAACTGTTGGATTGGAAGGACTCACGTTTGGTATTGATTCATAAAGTCCTGCTGCTGACATTCCAGCCAAGTCCTCCACATTGGCGCTGGATCGAACAATCAAACGTGCATTGCTTGGAAACAATTTTCCAATGCTTTCAATGACGTCTTCTGATAGTTTCAGGGAAGAAATCAATTCCTGGAGTTGATTGCATAGAGCGTCAAGTTCACCATCCTCCAGTTTTGCTGTTTCTACTTTATCCAGTAAAGACCTGAATATTTCAGTGGAGTTGCTATTCTCTAGCTCTAATTCCATGGATCCAAATGGTAAAACTGCCCCGGAAGGAACTTGAAATGAAGCAGGCACTCCCTGATCACTATAAACTGTCATTCAAAAACTAGATTTTAGAAATGTAGTTTGTAAGAAAACATTCGTCATTCTATATAAAAATTTACATCTATGACTCTGATCGATCGCCAACAATCAACATTGCATGGGCGTCTTGAAAATGCAAGATAAGACTTCCTATAGTAGACCACCAAAGAATACTTTACGCAGAACCATCCACACCAGTATGCCTATACATTTACAACAATGACAAGACAGACAACATACTAAAGGGTTGAACCACAATACATCCTCCTTGTGATAAAATCATAAGAGGTTTGAAGCTGAAGAGGAGAGAGAGCAAAAAACTAATTATGAATAAAAAAGATATCAGACATTATTTCAGTAAGGTTCTCTTAAGATAAAGTATTGAGAGGAATGATTTCTAAATAGGATTCTTCAGCTGGAATCTCTTTCCTTATGAGTGTGGTTAAACCAAAATAACGGAAATAGGAACTAGTGTACCATTAGAAAGATTGTGTTGAGGATAGGATACTCACTTTCACTCTCTAAGATTGATACTATGTATGACATAGGTATTGAACACATTGCTTTTATTACCTTTATCAGAAGCTGAAGACAGTGATGATAAGTGACCACATGCAGCAGCCTTTGCCCCGGAAGTCTGTGTTTCAGCATCGGGAAGCAAGATAACTCCAGAACCCTTTATACAAATTGAGTTGTGTTCAGTTGAGGCCCTTAGTACAGAGAATTTAAATAATAATAATAATAATAATAATTGATAAATAATGTGCATACAAAACAATTACTCTGAATATTATGAGATTAAATTAACTTAAATTTGAATGTTTCTCATTAACTATGAAAAGATTTAATCCACTATTTATACTATACATTAGAGGCATAAAATCTAAATAGGAATGCAATCCTATCATAATCCCGATAGATACCAACAAATCATATTATAATAAATATTATCTCAACATTCCTAATGTTGACACCTGGGGGAACTAACCTACACTGGGAATGATTATTGGTGCACTTACGAGCACCTAGTAAATGAACACTGCAATAAAGAGACCCTGGAAGCTGTAATGCAGAGAAAAATGCTGAAAATCAGAAAGAAAATAAAAAACAATGCCTGGGATTCTAATGACCTACAAATCAATGCGCTTGAAAAGGAAAGTGGAATCCCACATTGGAAAGAATATGAGCTGATCCATTCACGGCTGAAATGCGGTGAAAAAGTGTCCCCTGTATGGCAGTGCATGTCCGTTACGCGCTCGGAAGACCACTGGAAAGAACACGCGCATGGCGGCACATGGGAAGGAGTACGAGGAATCGAGGATACACTATGGGGTTCAAGCTGGTTTTAAGCCAGATGGTGTGGTCGCTGGAGCAAAAACTTTAGTGGAAGGCTGTCAAACTTGCATGAATGATAGCAAATAGTAATTGTAAGATACAGAAGTGAACAGTGACACCCCCCCGAAAAGATCTGCAATAAAGGTCCTAGAATCCACAATGAAGGCTGGAAAAAATAAGAAATCGCAACTGTGATGGAAGCTGGGGTTTATGTGGAAGACCTCCAAAATCGGGGAGCTCTTGATACCATATGTAAAAATATTTATGATACATATTTCAAAGTTATGAGAATAGTATCAGCACTAATGTGCTGAAATAATTACAAATAATTACAAGTGTTCAGATCAGAGCCGCCTTGCAGAAAGATATTTCCATTCTCCCTTAAGTTATCTCTACCCTCATTGGTTTTCTTCCCATCACGGTAATAGAACATTTTATCTCTAGGACCACCCAGAAATCAAAATCATTAGAATTTAAATTTCTTGTCCAATTGTTTAATTCTAACTATTACCACTTTTAACAAACTAGAAGTTTATTTGTAGATACAAAAAATGTCAAAACATAGCTAAAATAATGAAATGAATAATTCTGCCACTATCTACCTGACTAGATTTGGAGATTCTACCGGCAGAGGAAGCAGGAACCTCAACTCCAGATAAACTACCCTCAAAAGCACTTTCAACAGAAAAATTGCCATCAGGGTTAACTGAAGAGGCCAGAGTCAGATTAACACCAGCAGCGGATGCTTCCAATCTGAAAAGTTAGAAACTAGGAAAGGATAAAATGGAGAATATTATAGAATAAGATATGTTCACAGCAGAATCAAAATAGTTTGAAGAAGGAAAAAAAGAATATTATTATTTGACCCATATCCTGACATTAGAGATTTTAATTTTAAATACAAACAATCATGGATGGGAAAATTGTCTTGGAAATGACCTCACACGCGACCCAACAAGTCTTTGAATATCAGCAATTTTTTCATCATCTTCACAAGTGACAAAGACGACTTTTTCCTGTAATAAGCAATAGCTGTATGAATGTCAATGACAATTTAATAATTTATAAGTTCAAACTTCAAAGTAATTAGTTGGGATTGCTTATTTAGAAATAAAACTTGCCTGCCGGGCCCTAACACCTAGATGAGATAAGTGAGGCAGCTCTTGCTTAAGGATAGCTCCTACTATGTTCTTCCCAGCAGCTGTTACCTGCCAGCACAATCAAACTTATTAATATTATTGATATATTTAAGACTTCAGTATGCTTTCAAAGAAGTACAAGTATACCTCTTCATCACCATCAGCTTTGTTAACAATGAGGATAATAGGACCTTCCACTGGTGATGGTAACAACCCGGGAACAATTCTTTCAACCTAGGTAAAAAAAATCCAAATTCATTTATAATCATAATGAAGTGAGGAGGATTTTTTTTTTTGGGTCATTTGGATGGGGATAATCCCTGCCTAGCTAGTATCTTACCTATTTGGTTATTACTGACTTTAAATTTTGCTTGTGTAAAGAAGACTAGATGTCTCTCTTTCCAAAACTTAAGGACTTTTCTTTGATTATTATTAATAATAAAAAAGTGACTTGTTCTAATTTGTGTTTGTCACTGTGTCCTACACTACCTGTCTTCTTATTATTAATCTGTGACTTTTGTTTGATAGTTAATAATAAATTGTGACTTGTTCTCAGGTGTGTGTTGTTTTTTTTTCTGCCGTACGCAGGTCACCTTCCTACAAATTAGTAGTTACTCCATGAACTCTATCTTGATTGCCATGATGGGCGGGTGAGAGGGTTTGCAGATGGAAATGGTTAGTCAGGAGAACTCTATCTTGATTGCCATGATGGGCGGGTGAGAGGGTTTGCAGATGGAAATGGTTAGTCAGGAGATAAATAAAACCTAGCATTTGGGTATACTATCTAAACATCTTGATATGGACTGCATGTGAGCCTTTGCAGGCAAAAGTACATACTGATTGATTACTAAAGTTGAAAGCTGAACTGGCCGCTAAATGATAAGGCCTATGGTGTTGATTAATGAAGCATTACATTCTAAAGTACGTTTTCCTGATGCTGACAAGGATCTTTGCTTGATAGATGATCCAAAGTAACAGTTTTTTTAAAGGAAATTTGGTATTATGGAAAGGTAAAAATAATATTGATATTTGTAACAAGTTAGGCATGATTATCATTTATGTTCCATCTTGAAGCAGTCTTAAATAATATTAGTATGAGGATCCATGAAGCACGGACTAACTCTAGCAGTAGGCGTGTCGCGGTGTGTGACACTTGTATGACACTCGTACGACAAGTGTCGATAAAGTCAGACAAGTGTCCCAAAATAAAGATTTATTTTCTTTGCTTCGACACTCTTTAAATGAGTGTCTGACACCCATATGACACTCATACAACACATGTCAAACAATTTAGAGAAATGTTCAAAAAATAATTTGTTTTTTTCTTTGCTTCAAAACATCTTATACATTTATACATTTTTTAAGACAAATCTCATGCACATTTAAAATATAGTTAAACATGTTTTGTTTTTTTCTTTGCTTCAAAACACCTTATACATTTATACATTTTTTAAGACAAAACTCACGCACATTTAAAATAGTTAAACATGTATTGAAGCAATGCTATCAGTGAAAATTAAAGACAATAGTTTTGATTAGAATGTTTTGAACTCTTTTAATAATAGATGGATCAATGAGCTCAAATTCTATTATATATGTAGCGGTGTCGGTGTCCTATGTTTTTGACATTATCAGTGTCAGAGTGCCTGTGTCGTGTTCCGGTGCCATGTCGGGGTCTGTGTTTCATAGATGAGGATGTATTCTAAGACACCTGCACAAGGGGTTAGTCATTTCTTTAAATTCAATAATGAAGGTTTTTTTATAAAGCGCTCTCTTACACACACACACATCTGCGCAAGATTATCATATTATTTGTTACTACATGTTGTTTGTTACAAGACATCATACATGGTTTCTCTAAACACAACTCATTACCTGAACCAATGTTCCTAAAACAGCTCCGGGAACAATAACATCCCAACCTTGAGAACCAAGCGTACTTCTCACAGCTTTTAGAAGAAGAGTACATAATTTTGAAACCTGAAAAATTACACTAAAAATTTACAGTGGAGAGGTTAGAAAACATACTAGTTATGTTTATCATAATGAAATTCATAGTGTACGAATAAACATGACAAGAAACCATAGATACTGTTGAAAACACTACATGTTATAATTCTTGTAAATCTCATCTTATTAAAATTTAAGGATAACGCATTATCATACCCAGCACGAATCTCCGCTTCTGTATATGTTTTGACACTGTTTTCAGATATTCCTAAAGCTTTTCCTAGAATCTGTAACATTTAAAGTAACAAGTTTGTTTTTTCAAAATATATATGCACAACATGAAGGAACAGGAACCTGGTTAAAAAACCAAACAGTAATAAATATCAAGCTTCAACTTAGTAATAAATTACTATCTAACCTCAACTTTTTGAGGAAATATCTTAAGAAGTTCTTCAGTATATTCCTCAGTTAGCCTCTTGGATCTATCAAGAGTAGCCTTCAATCTCAATGTCCAAATCTTTTTGCCATCTTCATTTCCTGGGAGAAAAAGGGTGTACATTTAAAAATATAAATAAATTAGTCAAGACGGTTTACAAGGTTTCAACAGGCAGAACAATTCAATCAAAGACCCAAGAAAGTTACCTTCACTTTCTGAAAGGCCTCTTGTACTCCAGGCAATAAGCTCATTTTCAATAGCACCGCATTCTTCTGGTTTCCAGTTAGATAATTTCAGCTGGTGAACTCCAATAATAAGGGCTCCAAGTGGATCATTCCAAGAGTTAACATTTTTTGACTCCAAGTTTGAAGCTAGCCAAGAAGCACCTCCCATAACTTCAAGCACATTGAGAAACCTATTTATATGAGCTCAGAAGTTAATGCTCTACCAAGAGGAAAATCTTGTTATTACAAGTGGCGTGAAGCTAGAGTAGTTTTATATTTCCAATTCCATCAATCGCGCTCTACATTATTCAATAAATCCCTATCATTAACAATTGTTTAAATTTGAAAAAAATTATCATATATTACGCCGTTCTAATGTATTAGATAATTGATAAGTTCATATAACTCTTTAAGTAAATCCAACATCAAATAAACATCTATCTTCGTACAATTAGAGAAAATATGCATTGTATTATTATAGTTATAATGTCGAAATATTTTAGTATTGACGATCATCAATACCTGTTAATTTTGTTTTATTTTATTCCACAATAATTTTAGAATATTCCGTATAGTCTAGTCTTTCCTATAAAAGGATCACCTCCTGATTAGAATAAACATACAATGAGTCCCTTTAACATTTCTAGATGCCCCTATCATCTAATTAGCTAGCAAGAATTTCATGCCTATTGCAAAATCACGTGCCCTTCATATACTTTACAAAAGTTGTTCAACGTCCAAATATCTGATGAATGTTGAAAGTGTAAATTAGGAAAAGGTAAGCCAAAAACCTGCTCAAAAGAACAAATGAATAATCCTCAAGCCCAATCTCACAGAGCCGCCACTGTTCCTCCAAAGAGCAAGAATCAATAGATGTTCCAACATTCTTTAAATTACTATCCATACTCAAGCGTTTGCTAGATAATTGAATAAAATTAGTCTCACCTTTTGACGCATGGCTATTGCAGAATCTGGAGCATCATTCCTGAGGCCACTTTCAAGACCCTTCACAATAATATCTCTCAAAGCATTCAAAGACTCCATGGTTTTAAATAAAAGTTTAATTCCTTGTTCTTTTGAAGTTGTTGATTCTGCTGCAGCATCCATATTCTGGAGAAGTACAAAATGTTTTTCCTCATCAGTAGATGCCATTATAAGAAAGGCTTTTAGTACCAAAGTCAATAGGGATCGATATGACTTAACCATAGATTCATAATAATGGAGTGAGTTCTTATCGTGCAATAGCTTAACAACCATAATAATTCAATTTCATGCTGAATATGATGAGCAGCAAACTATTTTCAGGACATAGAAGAGGTATTTAGACAAAGAAAAGGAGGGGAAAACAATCTGGTCGAGAGAATTTTGCAGGATAGAGGATAGTAAGTTAGGATCCAAAACCAATCAATAAAAAATACAAGAGAATCAGAAAAAGCAAATGCACCTTTTTGCACTCGAAAAATGAATTAAGCGCTGACATGCCATATTCATCCAGAGATTCATAAATTGATTCTAGCTGTTCAGCAAGACTGCAATACAACAAATTGATAGGTGGGATCATTAATTTGTTTATCTCATAGGATTCTATAAGACTAGTTTTCATATTATTTAGTTATAACAATCATTTGTTTCTTGATTTCCTTATTTCTTTAAGGTTAGGAGTCTTATATCCCAATAAATAGGTGTCTTTAGTATCAAGTCATTATCAATAATATTACACTATAATCATATTCGAAAGTATTTATTATTTCTCTTCTCCTAAATTTATCTAAAACCCATTAACTTCAACATCTCCAAGATATATAAAAAAATAAAAATAAATAAACAACAACAACAACTACATAGTGCTAAGCTCGAGGACTTTATGACTTAAGGATATACATGATTACTTCAAAATGTAGTTTCTCCTGTCAACTAATGCCGAAAATTTCATTATCACCCAAAATGTAGGTTTTCCTGTCAACTAATGCCGGAAATTAAAATAACATACATCATACCGAGAGAGAGTGCTTTGAAGGCAAAACCAAAACAAATCTGCAATTCCATATGATAAGAAACTATAGCTTTGTGATATTCATGTCAAACCTGCCAGCATTAAAGAAGTCTTTGAGTTCCCGATGAAATATCTGGAACTGCTCTACAAATGCTTGACTATATTCTCCAGGGTTCTTTGTGATTTTAGCAAGCATAGCTTCTGTAGCAATCAAGTCTTCAGGACCAGCATTACGGTGAAGCTTGTTTTGTATTGTGTGTTTTATTTGTGTCTGGAAATATGTAAATATATGTATGTAAAACAGATGACCTATCATCAATAATGAAGTGCAATAAGATTCCTTAGTCCATGTAGTTTAGGGAAAATAACCTTGAGGTCATGTGGAATGTCATTTCGATGAGCAATATCTCTAATTCGAGTCAGAGGAACAGATGCGGTGAATTCTGCCTTGAAAGATGGCAAACATGGATGAATCTTTCGAATAACCAGTACTTCCTGTATATCAATGAAATTATGGTAAATAAAGGAAGTTAGACATAAACCTGAAATGAGGCCAAAATAATGTCCTCTTCCACACTACCAAGCTATCCCCATATTAAAATTCACGGGTAGAAGAGAAAAGAATGGAAAAAAAGAGTAGAGAACAAAATTTGTCAAAGCCATAACTCAATTCAGTGCTGTTGCAGTGGCATATGTATAAGGCTACAGTACAGTTAAATCTATGATAGAAAGACACTCATGAGTAGTCAGTATGAAATATGACTAATGCCCTAATAGCTATTATTCAATTAGGACCAGGATAGAGAACCAAAAAGACTGTCTTTCAACATCAGTGTTAAAAATAACAATAAATCACCTGTGGAGATACATCCTTTTGACTTGTATGTCGCTCTAACTCACGAAATATAAGCCTTGAAATCTCGGCGTGCCTATTGGGACGGTGGTGACCTCCATCTTCAAAACATGGTATTTGCCCTGTGTTTATCCACTGCATCATATCATCTTAGAAGGGATCAGATGGTGGTCTAAGAAGAACATAGATGAAGAAATATAAATAAGTAGGAAAAGTGAGAACAAGACCTTCAGATAGATAGAAGTGTATATGAGAGCCTCCAATCGATCTTCCCCATGAACACTTTCAACTATATCACGTACAATCTCAAGCTTCAAATTGAATAGTCAAGTTAGTGCAAGGATTTGTGATGATTCATAACGACATAATGTGGAAAGTGAGATACGTTTTGTAACATAAGAGTACCTTTCTCCACCAATTCCTTGCGGATTGATCCCCTTGAACAAACTTGAGAGGCAAGGGTTGAAGACCTGAGGTGTCCCAAGTCCTTTGGGCTTCATTGGTGTTATGCTGGTTGGATTGCATGAAAGAAATAGATTTGCCTTGCCACTCTCCTACAAAAGGACTTGACCCTGCTTCGAAAGAAGAAGAAGAAGCGGTGGCAGCTTCCTTGTCATCATTTGACTGAATAGTATCTCCTACATTCTTGCTATGATGGTCATCCAAAGGCAGTAGGTCCATAGTCTGGTGTGTGGTGTTCCATTTGGCAACCGTGTGAAAATAGCCAGCTTGGGGCAAGGTCAGGACTCTGTTGTCTCCAGATTCCCAAAGTAGAGTGCCGTGTTGGTTGACAATGATGAATTTGAATTCAATGTGATCCCCTCCGTTGAAATGGAAGTCGCATACCCATCCATTTGGTGTCCAATTGAGTGGAACATTAGTCTTCCAGGAACCAAACTGTTTGGCTGATCCTAGAATGGCAACATGGTCACCAAACTGAACTTGATGATCTAATCGGAGATGCAGATGAACATTATCTTTGTTTTTTCCACCTTTGCTGAGAATTGAAAAATGTAGTAATTAAGATGTGAAGTGAATAAGAAGAATGTAAAAGATAAAAGAGGGAGAGTTGAAAACCTAGATTGTTTTTGGGGGGAGGAGACAGCATATACGAGCAGCGGAAGAGTGCGGGGAGGAATGCGAGAGCGATAGCGAGAACGATGGATGGAGGAAGAGAAGGGAGATGGAAGGAGGAATCGTAATCGGTTATGATTGAGAGGAGTATGGATGATTGAGTGAGAGTGTAGAGAATAATTCATTGCCACTCGGCTCTCTGGGTTGGGGATTTCAGGAATGAATCAGTAAATATAGAAGCTGTCTTCTTGCAATGAATCAGTAAATATAGAAGAAGCTTTGTCTTCTTGCAATGAATGAGTAAATATAGAAGCTTTGTCTTCTTGCAACACACGTGACGTGGATTATACTTGTACATTTTTACAAAATCAATACTACTACTAATATAGTGTGTGGTAATCGTGTCTACCGCCGGGGATGTTACGTTTCTTTCATTCATGTCGGTACCCTGCATATGCTTTTCTTTACAAGTCGGAGAAAATAAATCTATACACCGCTATCTCCGATCATAAATCCATTTTTGGATTCTTTTAGGAATTTATTAAGTAACTCAGCCAGAAATAACTCAATTAATTTTCCATTGTAATTCTGAAGAACTCCTCACAATTTTATTTTATATATTAATATTTTATTTATATTAAATTATTAAATAAAATAAATAAAAATTAATATAAAATAAATTAAATAAAATTCAAATTAAACTAATAATTTAAAATGACAATTAAAATTAATCTCAAATACATGATATATAATTAAAAATAATAAAAATAAAAATAGTAAAATAATAATAATAATAACTAGTCGTTGAACAACGACTAGTTTTTATATTATAAAATTAATATTTTAGATATGGAAGCTATAATTATATGCCGTTAAACAGCATGGCAATGTTGGAAACAACAAATATGAGTGTCATGCTGGCAAACTCATTTTAACAACTCTCATTGGAGTTGGTCTTAGTGGTCCAGATGCCGCTCAGGGATCTTCGACGTCTCCATATCTAAAACTTACCAAATTTTATGATGCCATTAGGTTGAAATTTTACTGGGTCTTCTCCATGTCTAAAACCTACCGATTTCTACAACGTCAGTAGATTGAAATCCTACTAAGGCTTCTCCATGTCTAGAACTTACCAAGTTCTACGGCGTCAATAGGATGAAATTCTATCGGGGCTCTCCGACTTCTCTATCTGACTTCATCATATACATAATCAACTGAGTTTTATGATTGAAATTCTACCCGAGTTTTTTTATTATCGTGCATCGCAAAGTTCATCAGGGTTCTCCGGCCTCTTCAAGGTCATAAATATTTCTGATATACACCAAAAATTGATATATCTTCTGGATAACGAGCTTAAGTCGAGTCCTTAAAACGATTATGACAAGTTTATGGGACCCGGGATAAACTCAAAACAATTCATTCTTACGAACCTCGTGCTTTGGAGGCTTATGTACATCCCGAAAATTTTAAGATCGATTATATTTCTCAGATTTTGATATAGCTGATGTATAGCCCAGAAAAAATTTATGTGGTCAGAGAGTTATTACGAAATCGGACAGTATGTACACCCCAGACTCAATTTATTAGGCACTGAAAGGACTGATCAAGTCGGAGCCGTTATAACACTCCAAGGGACGAGTCTGCTACCGAAGGTTAATGATGAGTCTGTTACAAAATGGTTAATAAGGAGTCAATTACAAGTGATTAATAGTTATTAATTAACTATTCAAACCATGTCCCTTTTAAAGTTTGTATATAAAAAGACATTGAGACTAAATAGTAGAAAAATGGGCATCTGCACGATGAATAACATAAAATAAAAAAAGTAAATTTACTAGAAATTTTGAACCACCAACAATGGTGGTCGTAAATTTTATACCAATCACAAACACATTAATAATTATTTATGACATTTCTAATTAGTATTAAGGAGGTTAACTTTTTAATATTTTTAACAAGAAAATATGAAGAAAAAACAACACAATTATAAACTATTGATAGGAACACATGTACAATAATGGAGGATTTGATGATTTTGAGTTCGTATTTAAGGCAACTGGAAGAAGGTCAGAGAAGTTGCTTGCTATATGGGACAATAATAAGTTGAAGATTCATTAGTAAAGTGCTTTGGGAAATTTTACCTCACACCCCTACACTTATACCCATACCTTTACACTAAAAAAATTTGGACCAAAATACCCTTGTATAAATAGTTATAGTTTTAAAAATTTTACATTTCCATTTTATTTGTCATTCAACACTTTCGAAACGCTCTTTTTTCACATACAAACCAGAACTCTTCGCCAAAATCATCCGGAACAACATTTTTCACCTACATATACCGGAACTCCAATAGTAAGTCTTCTGCTTTGTTGTGTTTTTTCGTTTGTTTATCGGAAGAATTTAAGTATGTCTTTCGGTTCATATTTTTTTCATTTGTTCACTGGAAGTCTTTTTGCAAGTCTTCTGGTACATGGTTTTTTCGTTTGTTCACCGAAGTCTTTTTGCAAGTCTTCTGATTCATTTTTTTTTTAATTTTTAATTTTTAATTTTATTTATTTATTTATTTTGGCAGTGGTGCGCACACGAGGCAGAGACGGTATGATCCCTTCTCGCGGACTAGGACGAGGTGAGTCATCGAGAATGGTTGAAGAAGAGCAGTTTGATGCATCAGCATCAGCATTCGAGCCTGTTGGACGGGGTGAGTCATCTCTTTTTCTACTCCAATAAACATAATCTGCATCCTCAATAAGATTAAACAAATGTTGTATCTCACTTCTAGGACCTCTTATATTTTTTTCTATCATACTCTTCTGCTTGTATATTTGCATGATCCAAGTGACATTATCTAGATCTTGCTCTTGCAATGAAAGCAATATATGTCTAGGTGGAACCTTTCTCTTTGTCAAATCAACAACATGTTGCTTCTGATCCGCTGTCAACCTACCAACAAATGTGTGACCTTCTAATCTATCAGGTAAATCATGGTTGTGAACTCCATATTTTACATCAATCTTCCATCCAGATCCATCAGTCGCTGGAGTTGATCGGATTCTAAATGGACATCCACATTTTTTCGTCGCACTCTGAGTTCCACTATCAATATCTTTGTGTTTTTCACCTTTATCACATTCAAATATTAATTTGTTACTTCTTCCTCTCTTGCATGTTTCAATACCCTTGCATATCTGTAAAGGAATTTATGTACCTGTATAAAAAATTTTTTAAAAAAAATTACAAAAACAAACCGGAAGACTCGGGAAAAGTGTTTCGGTAGCCAAAGTTACCAAACCGAAAGACTTGTAAAAAGTGTTCCAGTTACAAGTACCGGAACTCTGAAGAAAAGTGTTCCGGTAAAAATTCTACGAAAAACACAAACCAGAAGTCTTTGATAAACTCTTCTAGTACATATTGTGTATAAACCAGAACTCTTTGCCAAAGTCTTCCGGTTTGGAAAAAACAACATACCGAAAACCATTTTTAAAGTGTTTCAGAAGACTCAATTGATAAATTTTTCGAAACTCTAAAAATCTGACACGAGACAGTAAAAACACTAAAAAGTATAAAAAAAATAATAAAAAACATACAGGGAAATTGGTATTTTTTTTAAAATTGTAGGGGTGTGGATATAATTGTAAGGATATGAGGTAAAATTTTCAGTGCTTTGAAGTGTATTATGTGGATGGAGGAAAAATGGGGTGAGAACCAGAAAATATTGTCATTAATTAGATGAAAAAAATAAATTTAAATAATTGAAGAAAAATAATAATAAATACTTAATATAATAGAACAAATAACAATGATTGTTTAATATTTTAAAACGATTTATATTTTAGAACAAACCTTTTCTCCAAAATAACTTATAAAAAAAAAAGAGGGAGTAAATCCTTGAAAACACTTTTTTAAATATTTGATATGTTACAAACAAAATTAAGCTTTGGAGTGTTTCAATGGTTTAACATTTTTACATCACCTCATTCTTGTTACAAGCAACACCGATCTCCAATACCTATGTTATGGTCTAACTTCACCTCTCAAGGAAGAGCCACTACTGCCACGGATCAACATCAACACAGTCAATCTTTGGAAGCCAAACCAAACAACACAAAAAGTAATTCTCTCAAACATCATCTATGACTTTGAGTAAAACAAAATAATAGTATCTTTCCATTAATGACCCTTTTATCACAGTAAAGGGTACTCAATTTCATTTAAACCGAACCATTTCCAAATCTTGTTGCATATGAAATTACAGCCAGAAATCATCTATAGAGGTTCAAGGCATTAATTTATGAACCATATAAAGAATTATAGTAAAAAGATTAGTTATTAACTATTGATAGAGCTTCCCTAGCAAGATTAAAGACAACACTATTCCCCTGTCCAGAGTCTTAAAGACAACACTATTCCCCTCTAGAGTTTGAAAATCACACTTAAGGTGATTAGAGAGCCTTCAAAACACCTTAGACTTTCCCTTATGTTATAACAAGACAAAAAGGAACCCTCTCAATCTTTGCATCAACAAAAGCCCCATTTGAGTCACAAACAAATAACAATAGAAACAGAAGATGAAAAAAACCTGCATCCACATTTCTCCTTATAAATCTCTTCAACTAGTATTTATCATACACCATTCCCTAGCCCTGTTGTCTTCCTCTACCAATGAGCTGTACTCAAGGAGTCAGGACCAAGTGTGCACACCTCAATCCCTTCATCATTAACTCTCTTCCTCCACGCCCACAAAAACAATTTTGCTCACTCCTTTAACAGTCTTTCAAATTTCAATCACAATATAGACTTTTAACAGTATTTCACATTCAAAGCATATCTTGTTATGTTTCAATTCAATCCCACTCAACTGCTGATTAATCAGATGAGTTTTACTTTACATTTCCAACATCAATAGACCAGTGGCCTTGGACGTGTCTCTTACTAAAGTTTATAAATACAACTGAAATTCAAGCCCCCAAACTTGTTTTTGTTGAAAAAAGAGATACAACGCCTAGTACAAAATGTGCAGAGAAACAGCATCAAGGTTGCACAGCCTCCAAAAGTTTCTCATAAACTTGTCTAGCAGTCAAATCCTCCACCTGAAATGATCGTCAAATGGTAAAAAATAATCAAATAACTTGTCTATTAGGAATTAATTTTTTCTTTGAGAAATAGCTTCATTTAGAAAGAAAACGCTCAAATGCAAGATATGCTTTACAGGTAAAATTGATAGTAATGTAACTCACCACAAGAAGCTTTGACTTATTATTCCATCCTCTCTGAAGAGTCATTTGACTCAATCTTAAACCCAAAACCTATATATATAAAAAATAGAGTCATATGATGTCAGTGGTAACGAACTATATTTTCCTAGAGAGAACAGATTGAGCAAAGAGACATAATGCCATTGAAAGAGCAACCTTGTTGTCATGAACAAAGAGGCTATTTCCACAGCTCAATGTCAAGGCAACAAACAAGCCTAATCTTAAGCAAAACCCAAGGACAATAAAGAGTAAACAAGGGTAGAGATATACTTTTCCCATAAACTCCAAAAGTTCATTGTTAGCTTCACCACGCGCGGCGGGAGCCGCTACAGAGACTCGAACATCATCGGCATTTACTCCTGACACAGAAAACGATGGTTTAGTAAGAAAGCACTGAATGAAGCAATTGCACAGAAAACTCAATTATAAAGATCCATGATGTGGTTGGACCTAACTCAACCCTACAAGACCGGCGGGTGAGGATTGGCCCCTACATTGAAGCACTTGCATTCCAAATAGATCTATGAATCATGTGAAGCTATTTTTCTATCATTAGGGGCATTGAAACAATATTACAAAAACAAGAAGGAAAAGATATTTGGAGAGAATTGAATGAAAGTTGGTTACTTGTGATAGCAGAGCGGTGAGCACGATCTTCGACTTCAATAGCAAGTTGAACAAGTCCACCTTCAAGGTGAGAAATACAAGGTGGAACAGGTGCATCCTGCGGGTTGGTTTCAGCAGCAACGGTACTGAGCGCTTTGTCAAGTACATAAATAAAAGTGGAAGAATCCAAATCTTGTTGAGAACGATAGCAAACAAAGAGACCACAACCGATACAATTCATACGAAACTGTTTCTCGACTTTGGCTTCCCCTCGCTTTAAGAGAACGTTGCCGGCTTCGTGAATGTTGAATCTAGCAAGATGTTTGGTCTTGTCTAAAACGTAAGCTCTGTCGGTGTTTCTTCTAGGCATTTTCTGCAATTGGGTGTCTTTTGAGTTTGTTCATTCTTCTAGGTTAGTTTTTTGCAATCAATAATTGGATTCAACAAGAAAAAGAAAGAAAGGAACAAACCAGTGATGAGGACATGGGATCCGCAGTGTTTGCAGTAATATACAAACAGATCCGAGTTAGGCCCTTCCGGAGCCGCATCCTCGCTTGAGTACGTATGCGTCGTCCTCTTCGGCATTCTCTCTCTTTCTCTCTAATTCCAATTCCCTTTTTTTATTTATTCATTCGCTTATTTTCCTTTTACACCCTACGTTTTTAGTCATACACCTCCCTCGTTCCTCTTTTAAACTTCCCAGAACGTGCGCATTATTAGTTTTAATTCTCTTGCTTAATAAATAAATATGATAGAGAACAAAACAACTTGATATAATTAAATACCATACACAAAACAAAAGCTTCAATCCAACTTTGAAATTACACACGCATAAGCATAAATAGAACAAGAAAAACCAAATTATTGCATTTTCTTCTGCTTTTTAGAGCTCCAACACTAAATCTGCAATTTAAAACAAGTTCCAAAATCTGAGCCATGATAAACTTTAGTTCATCAACTGTAATGGTAATGAGTGAGATGAATGCTATTGCTTACAATCTGCATCTGTTTTGATCCACTGCTCCTTATTCTCATTCATTCTTTTCTTCTTCTTTTCTACTGCTCTTTTCTTCTGGAACATTTGGATAATCTACAATTCACAAATTCATCATTACAGTCTACTACAGACCTTGAATAAATACAATAACTTATCAACCGGACTAATTGGAACCTTATTATGCAGTTTTCTGTCTGCTGAAGACGAGTCAACAGAGGTATGGACCATCCTTTTTTTCTTGGCCTCCTCAACACGATTGTTCTGATCTTCTACTTTGCTTCTCTGAAACAGCTCTGCCAGTGATGTTCTCTCACCGCGCTGCTCCTCCTCCTCCTTATTTTTTGACACTGATACTCTAGTTGTTGTTGTCTCTGATAATTCAAATGCGGATCCAAAGAGATATTCCTGAAGTGGACAAACCGTGTTTGATTCTCCGCTGCTGCTTCCGTGGCTGTTTCTACCGGATGAATCATCACTGTTGTTGGTTAGCACAAGAACTTTCTCTAGCTCATCATTGATCAGCCTCAGCTCATTTTCAGTCACTTCATCTTCCTTTTCAGTTATTATATTTTCAAGAGAGATGGAAAATGTTGGAGTTAATAATGGATCCAAACCAAGAGTTCCAATTGCTAGGAAGCTGGGGAAAATAGCATCATTCCATGCCTCCTGCTCTTCTTTCTTGTCACTCCCTCTAGCTGCTTTGAAAGAATTTCTAATTTGTGACTTTGTTTCACATGTTTGCATATAATATATTAGTTTATGGTGCACTTTTATTATAGGGATATAAACATGTAAATGCATATAGAAAAATAAAGTTACCAACGAGCAGGTGTTTCTGGCCAACTTTTTTATGAATCCATCCGAGTAACTGCATCAAATTAAACAAGGATTATATATGTGCAGTTGAAGCAGCTAGGCAGTAATTAATAAGATATCAAAATTAGCAATTAATTACCTTCATTCTTTCAAAGTGTGCTTGAGAATAGTTTGGGATGAAAAGCTATATAAAGGTAATTTGTTAATAGCTATGACATTCTAGAAATGTGCATACAGAGAGATAAAACATAGAGATAGTAACAAAAACATACATCCAAATATACCTATTCGATCATGTGCAGCTGGATTATTCCTCCCAGGTGTGCCATTAAAACAATCTAACATTTTATAACTAACATTTTGTAATATCTTTTAGAACATAACCGTCATTAATCATTGAAATTTAGACGGTGTCTAATTAAATTATATTGATACAGCATAAAATTAATCAAGACGCATTAATATTAAACTTTGTTTTAGAAGTAGATCTATGTTGAAACATTTAATTCCATTGAAGGATGTGAAGTGAGTAGAACCATATATGCCTAATACAGCATAGCACTGTAGAGTAGAACCATATATGCCTAATACAGCATAGCACTGTAGAGTAGAATAGTTCCAAAACAAACATACAAAAAAGGCAGTGCTATCATCTTTTAAATCACAATAACGCGCATATTGCAAACTCAATAACCTATTTGTGGCCATGAATTATCACTAATTTGATGCCAACCATCCATCTATCTCTATACTGTTTTCTTTCTTTCGCTAACAATTAAGACATGTCGTTTACTTCATTTTACCCTTTATGCATCCAATGCTTTCACTCAAGAGAAGAAAATATTTCACTTAATAAAGTGATATTACTTTTTTATTTCTTTTTCATATATCTATAAAATCATTCAAGTAACTGAAAAAATAAATGTGACAATTATTTTTCTAAATATAGATATGTTGACATTTTGTAACACATTATTCACCATTTTTTAACCATCTTGTCTTAGTCTTGAGAAAGTCGTGCTACTGTTTTAGAAACTACTTTGTGTAACTTATAAAAAAAACTAATTAAAATCAATCATTCATTTTTAATTAATTATATATAGTATTAGTATAATTGGTTAATAAATTATGATCAACTAAATTTTAATTAACAAACAAAGTATGTTATAAATTGTGTAAGAAAATCATTAATAATAAAAGGATCAATACTAAAATTTCGTGAATATAAATATTTATAGCTTTGATATCACATATTTATTTGAGTAGTAATTTATTTTTTATTATACAATATTATACTTTTATTAAATTAGTCTTATTAGTATATTGAAAATAGTGTACAGAGTAATAATTATATTACACAATTGAAAAAATAACAATTATTACTACATTGAAAATTGAGAACGACAATCATTTTGAAACAAAAATTTTCTCCTAAAAAGACAGTCATTTTGAAACGGATGGAGTATTTTACAAACATAATTTACTAGAACTCTTTCTTCCATAACAGAACTATGAATCTTTAATATGTACACACAGTGAAGTTTGTTAGAGAGATATTACATGGAAGAGAGAATATTATGTGACAGTCAGCAATCATCCAGAACACCGATTTTCTTTTACACAGCTTGTGCCATAAACAAATATCAGAGCGAGAGATATGTGAAGTTCTAAGTTTTTTCTATGGCACAAAATGAAACAGGTGCGTACGAGATAGATGAATCTAGAACATGAACATCAGTAATCATATTCCAATCTTGCATATTAGTGCTAGTGACAATTAAGCCAGACAAGATCCACCTTAAAATATTAGAAGGAAGGGTATCCTTGGAAAGAGCAAGAGGAAGTTACAACATTCTCAATGGATCAGCAAGAAACAAAGTCATAGAATTGCTAACAGAATGTCTTAAACAAGTCAATCACAAAAATATTAAATTTCACCCAGCAGTTTGTAGAAACATTCCGTAATGAATCTGCAGTTTGGCTTATTCGAAGGATACTCTATTCAGAATCAGATAACATCAAAAATCTGGCAACCAATAGGATGATACCAACTCCAACTATATCTCTACTAGAATACAAATAGCTAATAAGAGTTTGTAGGTCTCTAGTACTGAACTCATTCAGCATTATAATAGTCAGACAAAAAAATTCCATAGAGCAAGAGCCGAGTTTCATCCTCAGCAGCCACAAACTAAACATATCAAGCAATTGGAAGCTCACCACATTCATTGATAATCACATTCTTTAGTGGACGATCACCGCGATCGGTGTCTTGCGATTCAATCAATCTAACGATGTTCATGCCTTCCAAAACTTGGCCAAATACAACATGTTTCTTATCAAGCCATTGTGTCTGCCAATCAAAAAGGAAACATAAGATATGAATTGAAAATGAGTAGCTTTTCAAAAGGAAACATGAGATATGAATTGAAAGTAAAAAATGTTGAAAATGAGTACCTTGACAGTGCATATGAAAAACTGACTCCCATTGGTGTTGGGACCTGCATTTGCCATACTAACGGTTCCGGGTCCAGTATGAGAGAGTTTAAAATTCTCATCTTTGAAAGTGCGACCATATATACTCTTGCCACCAGTTCCATTTCCTTTGTCGAAATCTCCCCCTTGAATCATGAAATCTTTGATGACGCGATGGAAGGTGGAGTTCTTGTAGCCAAAGCCCTTCTCGCCGGTGCAAAGGGCGCGGAAGTTCTCGGTAGTTTGGGGGACATCGTCACCGAAGAGTCCAATGACAATCTTTCCAACGAATTGTCCAAGTGGGTTTCCAATACCGATGTCAAAGTATACTTTGTGAGTCACTTTGGATTGTACGATTACTTGTTCGGAGTCAGAATTACCGGTGGCCGCCCTGACTTTGAGTCTGGCAGCAGGCGCACTAACACTGCTAGTGGTACGTAATTTGAACCCCAGACGTGGGGGAATGGGGGTACTTGTAGGGTTAGGGTTGAAAGCTCTGATTGTTAGGGCTCTAGTATCTGCAACATTTGACTAAGAATCCAAAACAGAAAGAAATTGAATATCAATTCAACCAAATTAAACCTAATTAAAAGAACAAGTAATTACCAGTGAGAATAGTGGCGGTGATATAACATTGAATGCAGCAGCAGCAGCCATCGGGAAGGAAGGAAGGAACGGCGGGCGCGTGGCTGGTTATGGATATCACCAATCTATCTATCTTACTTTCGGTTATTAAACTCCATCGTGCGGATTCACACCTAATTTACTATAATGTCCCCGCAAAATCTATTACTACTTTTCTTTTCATTGGTTGGCTCCTCTCCCACCTTATGTTTATACACAAGTCTTTAATGACACTTCTATCCTTTCTTCTAATATAAGACTCATCAACAACAATACTGCTAAAACACATTTTAACTTTTAAGACATCGTTAGCAACTCCAACCTCATTTTTCTTGTCATCTTCAAACTTCACATTCTATTCATTACTTTCTCTGCCTTCTAGACTCATAGTGGTTACATTCCCCGTACATAGTTCATGTCAATACAAATTCAAGAGTTATTTGATTGATAATCATCGACCACAACAATCAATCAATTTACTTTCACTATTATTTTTTTAAATAGTAAACATCATTCCATTAAGTGAAAAATATAACATAACACATACCTCATTCATATTCTAGCAGCATCTTTAAAAATAAAAATTGCATACACATAAAAGACATTAAATATAGTTTGATTAAAGTTAAAAAGACACAATCAATCCAAAAACAACCATATATCATATATTTATTTATTCTATTAAGAATATTAGTAATAATTCATATTTTATTATATTACTTTCTTAAGCCCATAAGTTTGTTAGAGGGTATTTTAGTATTTTATCTTATTCTAGTAACCCTAGTTTTAGCTTATAAATAGGGTGACAATCATTGTAACTCTTAATCCTGTTTCTTCTGCCGTCATTCTCTTTAATAGAATATTTCCCTATTTTCATTATTCTATCTTTGCACCAACAATTGGTATCTAGAGCTCGGTTCAGATTCATTGGGAAACACGGGAAACACGAGTAACGTGAGGTCTTGTGTGTTTGATTTTGATTCTTAGATTCGTGTTGAATCTTGAACAAAATCTGATCAGAATTTTATTCTGTGGGTTGGGAAACACTGTGTGAGAAATCTGAGTGTATTGTGCAAAGTAGAAGATGAACGGAAACGGCAACATGAACACCAAACTTCCAGTATTTGATGGTAAAAACTGGAATCGTTGGATGATCCAAATGCGTGTACTATTTGGTGCTCAAGATGTTCTAGATCTTGTCACTGATAGTTATGTTCCAGTAGCAGCAGATGCAACCGATGAACAGAAAAACGCGCAGAAGGAAGTAAGGAAGAAGGATCAGAAAGCATTGTTCTTCATTCATCAATGTGTGGATGTAAACGTGTTTGAGAAGATTGCAGACTCTACAACAGCAAAGGCTGCATGGGACACTCTGGTGAGATGTTATGGTGGTGACGCATCAGTGAAGAAGGTGAAGCTTCAGTCCTTGAGAAAGCAATATGAGAATCTCAACATGAAGAATAATGAGAAAGTTTCTGAATACATCTCCAGAGTGATTCTGATCACTAATGAGATGAAGGCATGTGGAGAAACTCTTTCTGAAGAAACAATCATGGAGAAAGTATTGAGATCCCTTACTCCTCAATTTGATTACATTGTGGTAGCAATAGAACATTCCAAAGATCTGAGTACCATGAGAATTGAAGAGCTGCAGAGCAGTTTAGAAGCGCAAGAGTTGCGTTTGACTGAGAGAACTTCTGAAAGGGAAGTAGAGCAGCAGGCTCTGAAAGCAACTTCTGATAGGAGGTATCAGAAGCAGTCAGAAGCCAAGAGAAGATCTGATGGTGGTCAGAAGTCATAAACCTCAACCTCTGATAGACAAAAGAATGCTCAGAAGGGAAAAGAGAAGTATGACAAGAAGAAGATTCAATGTTACTGTTGTAAGAAGTTTGGTCACTTTGCTAGAGATTGTTGGTCAAACAAGGAGAAGAAATCAGAAGAAGCAAATATAGCCAGAAGTTCTGATGACGAATCTGTGCTATTGATGGCCTCTGAATCTGATGATCTGACAGACTGGTGGTATATGGACACTGGCTGTTCAAATCATCTTACTGGAAACAAGAAATGGCTGGTTGACTTTGACTCTGAAAAGAGAACAAAGATCAGATGTGCTGATGACAAATATCTTAATGCAGAAGGTATGGGAAATGTCAGAGTGACTCTGAACAATGGGAAAATAGCATTGATTCAGAATGTGTGGTATGTACCTGGCATCAGAAGCAATCTGATGAGTGTGGGACAATTAATTGAGAAAGGTTTCTCAGTTACCATGAAGGACAATCTTCTGAAGCTGTATGACTGTAATCAGAAGTTGATTATGGAGTCAGAACAGGGAAGGAATAGAACATTCAAGGTGAATGTCAGAACTGCAGACTCAGAGTGTCTTAGTGCAACGAGTACTGAGAAGGAGAGTGAGCTGTGGCACAGAAGATTTGGTCATTTGAATTTCAGAAGCTTACAACATCTGAATTCAAAGAAATTGGTACATGGAATTCCTGCAATTAAGAAGCCTGAAAAGTCATGCAAAGTTTGCATGGAAGGAAAACAACCAAGATTTCCATTTGCATCAGAAGTTGCTCCAAGAGCAAAACATGCCTTGGGAGTTGTACACTCTGATGTGTGTGGTCCATTTCCAGTAGCATCAATTGGAGGGAATAAATACTTTGTGTTGTTTGTTGATGAATTCACAAGAATGACATGGGTATCCCTTATTAAGTTCAAACACGAGGTGTTTGATGAATTCAAGAAGTTCAGAATGAAGGCTGAGAATCAGAGTGGTCAGAAGTTGAAGATTCTTAGAACTGATGGTGGAGGTGAGTATAACTCCAAAGAGTTCCAGAAGTTCTGTGAGGAGAATGGAATTGAGCATGAGGTTACTGCTCCTTATACCCCTCAACACAATGGTCTTGCTGAAAGAAGAAACCGTACTTTGCTTGATATGGTGAGAAGCATGCTAAAGGAGAAGAAGCTTCCTCAGAAGCTCTGGGGAGAAGCTGTTGCCACTGCAACGTATGTACTCAACAGATGTCCTACGAAGAAGTTGAAGGAAATAGTTCCTATGCAGAAGTGGACTGGAGACAAGCAAAGTGTTAGTCATCTGAAGGTATTTGGTTCTGTTTGCTATAAACATGTTCCAGAAGCCAGAAGACAGAAGCTGGATGATAGAAGCAAAGTGATGATTCTGATAGGGTACCACAGTACAGGTGCATACAAGCTCTATTGTCCATAAACCAATAAAATTGAATTCAGCAGAGATGTGATTGTGAAGGAATCAGAAGTTTGGAATTGGGATAAGTCTCAATCTGATTTTGATGTTAGAACCTCTGAAGAAAGGCCAGAGTTAAGAATTTCTGAAGTTGAAGTAAACCCTGATATTGACTCTGACTCTGATACTGATTCAAACTCTGAAGAAGACTCAGAAGATGAAGGTGACCCAGATGACCCAGACTCTGATGATTCAGACTCTGATGGCAATCCAGATCTTGGTGGCAATTCAGACTCTGGAAATATGCCAGACTCTGAAGATGGTCAAAGCTCTGGAGGTCAATCATCTGAAGCTAGAAACTCTGAAGCTCAAGACTCTGAACAAGTTCAGAGACCACAAAGAATCAGAAGCGTTCCCAGAAGATTTGCAGAATTTGACATGCTGCAAGACACTGAAGTAGACTCTGAAGGAGAAGTTATTCAGTGTGCCATGTTAGTAGACTCTGAACCTATAAGTACAGAGGAGGCTCTTAAGCAGAAGCTCTGGCTGAAGGCCATGAAAGAAGAACTTGATGCTATAGAGAGAAACAAGACTTGGAAGCTGACAGAACTTCCAAAAGACAAGAAAGCCATCAGCGTCAGATGGGTTTTCAAGCAGAAGTTAAAGCCAGATGGCTCAATTGGAAAACATAAAGCAAGGTTGGTAGCCAGAGGATTTCTACAGAAACCTGGGTTGGATTATTCTGAAGTGTTTGCACCTGTAGCAAGACATGAAACAATCAGAATGGTGATTGCAATAGCTGCTAACAGGAATTGGCCTCTGATGCATTTAGATGTAAAATCTGCATTTCTGAATGGTCCATTAGAAGAAGAAGTTTATGTGTCACAACCCCCTGGATTTGTGAAAAAGAATCAGGAAGGGATGGTGTACAGATTATACAAAGCTCTATATGGATTGAAACAAGCGCCCAGAGCTTGGAATCAGAAGATTGATTCATTTTTCAAGAAGCAAGGCTTTCAGAAATGTGAGATGGAGTACGGTGTCTATGTTCAGCATACTCTTGAAGGCAATATGACTCTGGTATGTTTATATGTTGATGATATACTGCTGACTGGAAGTTCTGAACAGGAGATAGCCAAGTTCAAGAAGGTTCTAATGAATGAATTTGAAATGACTGATCTAGGCAAAATGACATACTTTCTAGGGATGGAGTTCAGATATTCTGAGAAAGGTATCATTTTGCATCAGCTCAAGTATGAATTAGAACTTCTGAAGAGATTTGATCTGAAGAATTGTAAGATGGCTGTCACACCTTCTGATACAAATCAGAAACTGGATTCAGACTCTGAAGGAAAGGATGTGGATGCTACAACCTTCAAACAGTTGGTTGGTTCTCTGAGGTATCTGTGCAATACCAGACCTGATATTTGCTACTCAGTTGGGATGGTTAGTAGGTTCATGAGTAAACCTAAGTGGTCCCATTACCAAGCTGCTGTCAGGATTCTGAGGTATATCAAAGGAACTCTGAAGTATGGAGTGTTATTTCCCTCTGGAGGAAATAATGAGTCAGAACTTCTGAGTTATTCAGACTCTGATTGGTGTGGAGACAGAGTTGACAGAAGAAGTACATCTGGGTACTTGTTCAAATTTCTGGGAGGTCCCATTTCTTGGTGTTCCAAGAAGCAACCTGTTGTGGCGTTGTCAACCTGTGAAGCTGAATACATTGCAGGTGCTGTTACTGCATGCCAAGCTGTGTGGATTCTGAATCTGTTGCAGGATCTGAAGATTAAGGTAGGCAAACCTCTGAAGTTGATGATTGACAACAAGT